TTGGAGATGAAATCCTAATTAAAATAGTATTTAGTTATGAAAAGTGAGATTTTTTAAATTTATTTTCTATTAAGATGTTGACTGTTTCACTAAAAGCAATTATTCTGTGGTTCAAATCACAACATAAAAGCTGAACTGAAGTTACATTTCTGCACCTTTCTGTTCTTCTCCTGTGGATATCCACCCTCCTCAAGTTTAAAGCCCCCTTTTAAAAAGGCCAGTACCAAAATGTTTACATTCGTTTTCTTTATTTTTGAGAGTTTTAAAAGTTGATTGTAGCACTAGGCTACTATGCTGTTCAAGATAACTTTTAAAATTTATATTAGACTAAGCATTCAGGTAGGATTAACCACGATGATGCATATTTAAAACCACATTTTCTGAACTTCTCTAGGAAGAATGGAACTGTTTTCATTTGGGTTGCAGGTTTTAAATACCATGCATGTGACTCTGTTCTTATGTGTGTGCTTCGTCAAATGGAAGCACACAAATGACATGTGTGTACTCTTTGAAATTGTCCCTGCCCATGACAGGGAGATTGGACTAGATTACCTCTAAAGGTCTCTTCTAACCTATTCTCTGATTCTATAAATCTAAGGTGTGAGGTGCACACAGGAAATTGGCTTGTGAATACACAGTTAAGGTCGACAAATGAAATTTTGTCAAAATATTGTTATGTAAGCATACCCTTTTGAAGACATGACTGCAGTGGTCCTTGAGCTCTTGCTGTTGTATATGCTTTTTTTTTTGGTGGAGGACGGAACACCATAATAATTTGTTCTTCCATCTCCACACACTGGATAACTTTGCTCTCAGCAGGGTAAGTGCTCCTTATAGAACCACATGAGAGCAATTAACTTCACTCAAGCACAGTGAATGAAGATGGGCCATCCACTAAGTCTAGGTTTTCAAAGCTCTTATGCACTCAAAATGGTATGCAGGCATACAAATCTGGCATCAATTCTCATATGTTCCTGTCAAGGAAGTAGCTATATCCAAGAGAAATACAGCAGATGTAGGATGTCAGCTATGTAAAATTACATATGAGTGTTTTTAAGTTCCTCTCTTGTCCTGAGCTATTGAATTGTGAAGAATCAAAATGTTCTTCAATACTAGGTGTGAAGACTCCCAGGTGAAAAATACAGTGATATTTGCTGTTTGTACATTAGTGTGGGAGATTTTTTTCTCCTCCTTCTATTGGACTTCAGCTTTAAGCATGAAAATTCTTCCTCAGGTCCTTTTAGATGATTCAAAGATTTTAGATACCTTGTGGTTGAATAGGTGGCTTCCAGACTGGAAATCAAGAGCTTGTGCTAAGTGCCTTTGCTCCTTTTATAGTGCATGAGGTTAAGTGTATTACTATGGAATCCAAATCAATAATTACACTTTTAAGAAATTAGGGAGCTGGTGATGTAGCCTGACTGTGTTTTGGAGGTCTTTTACATCGGATTATCCTAACTTGCACTCTTTATATCTGAAGAGAAAGATTTCCAGTGAGCTTGGGCAGTATTTAGGTGCTGAGCTGCTCAAATTAGTGCTCCTCTTGTTTGTATAGGGGTTCCTCTACAGTCCTGGAGAAATTTCATTGAAGTCTGAATATATGTCTTTGGATTTTCCACTACTAGACAGCAGCAGAGCTGACAACTGAGATGTGATTTTACATTAAGGTACTTACAATCTTTACCAAATTCAGCCCATGAACTATTTTTCTTTTTCCATTTGCCAGCATGTTATCACTTCCCATTTTATAATGATACACTATGATGATTTAACAATATATTCACTTTTTTTCTATAGACTTCACCAATCTGAAACTTTCATTTGCAAATTTTTGTATTTCTTCTGTTTGAAATCATTAGTTCAGTGAGTAATCAGTTAAATGCAATAATCTCAAGAGCAGATTTGTAAGAACTCAACTTTTTAACATGGAAAGCTAATTGCTGACAGTAGTCTCAAGCAGCTTCTGAAAGATGGACTTACTTTCCTACTGACTCCAGAACTATTCAGCTTCTTTAACGAATTCCTGATAGACTTGAAATAGTTTTGAAAGACAGTGAATTATGAAGCTCTGTTCTTCTATTGATAGACTCATTAATATGACTGAAGAAGATAGAGACGTGGTTTTCCTTTGCAGAAGCCATTCTGGTTTGTTCCTCCTTGGTAATAGTAGTGATGTGAATCCCACAGTTTTGTTTAACTTTGGTCAATTTGATGTTTCTGAAATGATGCCTAGCAGGTCTGAAGTGACATGATTAACTCCTTTCTTCACCTCGGAGGATTTTTTTTAAGATGGCCTTCTTACATCCAGCATCAGAAGGTGTTTTTAGTTGAGAATTTAAATACTGTTGCTGGATTAGCTGTGCCAGTAGCAAGCAGATGACAAATATCTGCAGGCCTTAGTAACTATGTTTTAGTGCACTGTCCTGCATCAACATCTCCTTCTTTTGACAGCCAGCTAGGTGATTTCCCCAGATTTTCTTTGATAGTCTCTTCTATTTTTCAGTTTTCATTTTTTCATTTCAAGTTTTCTTCTGATGGTGAAAGATTTTTCTGTTATTTTTTGCTCCCTATTTGCTTTTCAAAACTTTAATACCTATTTCTCATCTAGTATTTTACTTAATCATGAGATAATTACTTCTCTAGTTTTTAGAGGGATGGATTTCTATTGTTCACATGAAAGTACAAGCAAAATTCAGATTTGGGACTACCTGAAACCAGCTTGTCCAGATGTCATTCTCAGTTTTGTGTCATTTGAGAAATGTCATTGGTGCTGCTTTTATATTAACTTTTTTAATAGTACTTCTTTGTGCCTTAGTGTTCTCAACCCTGAAATCAAATGAAAAATTCCATTTTCTCACTATTCATGATACATGTTATTTTAGCTGTAATCTTCCACCTCTTTCACTGCTAGTAAGCTTCTATATCTACACAGGGCTGAAATCAAGTTTTTAAATAGATGATCCAAATTGCTCATGTAGAGAGAAGATGTCTTGGAATCCTGTAAGCATGTTTAAACTTATGTCAAATTTTCATAGTAGTCACTTTAATTGCATATCTTTTGGTGATGGGGTGGAATTTTATAGACTGGTAAAGAGCTGTAATGATTCCATAAACATCAGAATGCAAAGACATAAGCATTCATTGCATATTTTGCAAAATGCAGTCAATTTGACAGATCAATTTATAATAAACCTAAGGACCATGGCCATTTTCAGGGCAAAAGGACTTCCCAGAGAGAAAGAGACTAGGGGTGAGGTGTGTTCATCGTCTTGCTGAGGGGGACAGCAATCTTGCTTCTTGGAGCTAGTGCCACCAGCTGCAGCAGAGGAGCTGCTTCTGCACTTACTCTGTAATAAATGCATATGCTCTCCTCTGATCTCATGCCTTTGCCATCATGCTAGGATGCTGCCTGCTGTGTTAATCCACCAGTAAAGAGACCTCAGGTCACACAATAATATGTGCCTTTACCGTCTGCCAGTACCCCCAGGACTGGCTATTAATTTTCAAGTCGTTGAATTTTCATTTAATGTACTGCAGCTCTCTGAAGCATGGTGAGTTTCTTTAACCATTAGAGCAGTAAGCTGTATATATAAAATAATAACCCGATGATGATGTGTAAAGAAGACAAAATACTGCCTTTCATTGGAACAACAACTGGATGGGGGATTATTTGCATTTCTGTACAGTGACAACTTGACTCGGAGGAGGATGATGATGATGACTGTATAACGGTTTGCTACTTCCACCGAGAACTCGGTGCACAGGTTACTCCGTAAGTACCCTATAGAGAGCTGCGAACAAGGGCATCGCCGGGGCCAGCGATTTGGGTTGGTGACAGCCTGAAGCCGAGAGAAGAAATACGCGTTGTCCAAGCGCTGGTCCCTCCGGGACGTGCCCACCCGCCCCCACTGCCGCTCGAAGGCTGAGAGCGCGGAACCTCTGGTCTCCGCCGCGGCCGCGGTGCTTTTCCTGCCCGGGGTCCGGGTGTGTGTGTGCGGGGCTGCTGGGGGCACGTCTGGCGACTTTCCCGCCTACGTCTCCGGAGACAGACCAGGAGGAGGGAGCAGCCGAGAGGAGACAGGAAGGAAAAAAGAAGAAAACCCCCCACACCCTTGCGTTTTGCACTCCCTGGCGCATTTCACGGCGCAGCACGGCGCATCGGCCGCTCGCCGCCCGTGTCCCCCGGGCGCTCCGCGGCCGCGCAGAGCCGCCCGCAGCCGCCGAGCCTGCGCCGCTCGGGGCGCGCAATTCCCGCGGCTGCCCCTGCGCGTCCAGCATGCCTGCCTCCAGCACGGCTTCGGGCACTGCGGCTGCAGGGCTGTGCTCCCGCTCCTGGGCACGAACGCGGGGATGGCGGATGCCCCCTTCCCCGCGGCTAGGGCCGCCCCCCTCAAAATCTCGATCGTGCCTGGGGACGTGGAGACGCGCAGTCCCCGCGGGTGTCCGTGCGCATCCCCGGGCGCTCCTGCTCCCGGCTGCGGGTCTCCGCTTGGCAGGGCGGACCGGCTGCCTCTCGGAGAGTCGCCCTCTGAATAGCTTCAAAAATAGAAATGTTTAAATGTATATGTATAGCTTTAAACATGTATTTAACATTTTTTTTACATTTTTGCCTATTTATATATACATGTATACATATATATATGTATATATAAGGTCTATTTCATTTCCCTCTTTGGAGAAAAATACCAAATCAATGCCACCCTTTCTCCCAGGCATGTTTCCCTGCTAGTAAAGGAGGCTCCACCTCTGCTAGGGATTGATTCGTCCACCAGTTTTTAGGATAATTTATGAAGCAACCTGATGAGCCTATTGGGCGAGTTGCTCGGTCCTTGCAGAGTGGTTTTCTACCTGTTTGGGTGTTTTATTTTATTTTTTTTCCCCCTTCCCCTCCCCTCCCCTCCCTCTCCCTGCCGTGTGCCGGGGGGTGGTGGGATTGGTAGGGTCGCTATTTCCCAGCCTCTCCGGAGAAAACTCGGGCAAGGGAGAGCTCCTGCACGCTCATGGATGCGTGGGGGGGCCCCGCGCCCCGCTGGATCCGCCGCCGCGGGGCCCGGCTGCTGCTGCTGCTGCTGACCGTGCGGCTGGGGAGCGGGTGAGTACGGCGGGCACCCCGCACCGCCCCCCGGGACTCGGCACCTGCGGATCGCCCCAGGCTGAGCTCGGGGCAGGGGGCAGGGGTAGAAGCAAGAGGCAGGGGCAGGGGAGGCGGCACGTCGCGCCGCCAAACTTCAACCAAAAAAGGTGTCGGTGCTGCCGCCGCGGCTCCCGCGGGCAGCTGCGGCGAGAGCCGGGCCGGCAAAGTAAAACTTCAGCCGCATCCCACTTGTTCGCTGGGCTGGTTGGCGAGTCCGGGCTCGGCTCGGTGCTGGGAAAAGCCCCCCTGCCGAGGGCGGCCCGGCGCACCGAGCTCCCCGCGCGGTGCCGCCCGTCCCCGGCGGCGGCTGCGGGGAGCGGGGGCAGGAGCGCGGCGGGCGCTGCCGCTCCGGCGGCCGCTGCTGCGGGGCACACATCCATCCCCGCAGCGGGACCTGCGCGGGGATCCTGCCGCCGCAGCGCTCCGGAGGGCATCGGGCTCACGCGTGGCATGGAGCAGGACAGCTGCACAAGTCCCAGAAGTTGGAAACGTGCTTTTTGAGGGAGAGTTAGAAAATTGAGCTGGAGACCTGTGAAGAAACAACAGTTTGGTACAGCTGTGTACATGCGCTATTAGTACCCGTAACAACGAAAAGAGGTGTGACAATTCTACTCCATTGACAATGCAGAGCTAATGTGAACCATTCCACAGGTTATACTCATAAAAATCACAAAGCAGCACTTTAGGTATAAATAAAGGGTATTTGACTCTTGCTCAATGTGTGTTTCTTTTAAATGAAAGACAAAGTTATCATTCTAGAGGATACAAAAATGTGTCGTGTAAGGCTGGCAAAAAAAAAAAAAAAAAGGAAAAAAATTTATTAAACATTTTTTAAAGTCTGTTATACTCCAGACCCTTTCTCCACATTGAATGACGATTTATCAGTCTGTGTGAGGTATGTTGATCTCATCACATCTCTCATCTTCAGAAGGCTGTTGTGTTTTCCTAGTAGAAACACCACTGATTATTTTCTTAACCTGTGTCTTTTAAAACCTCGATAAATTATGGAAATATTTTTCAAAGGGATTGATGAAAATGATACCAGTGCAGCTGTGCATCTTCAGAATGTTTCTTAATGATCACAGTGTACCTCAGGTGTGAAAGAAATTATCAAGTGATTTGAGAGAAAAGAATATGCATGTTAATTTATCAGTTCAAAGCTTTAGTTACAAAGGAGGAGGACTAGCTAAAAAAAAAAATTTATTTTGCTTTGCTTGTCAGACTGTGGTTGGGATTATAAAACGAGGTGTAGATTATTATGTATGCATCTCATTAACATTGCCATTTATAAATAAGTTGATAAGAAGTGAGGAAAAGAGGTAACTTACATGCATTGTTTTGTTCTGTGTTCCAGGACATCTCAGATAAAAGGGAACCTTTGATATGAATATCCATATATTTGAATCAACTATTTTCAGCTTTGACTTTTTTTCAGAGGCTACATGGAAAAATGCTGTTTGAAAGATTCCCCCCCCTCCTTATTTTTTTTTAAGTGACCTCAAATGGACATGTGTTGCAGATCATGATTCTCTGGTATGTAGTGCATTGCAATTAATGGGTGTTTTTGGGGAGCTCAGGACCTTTGGTGGTCTTTAACAGTCTGCCACAAAGTAGGATGGAAATACCATTTTTCTGCTTTGGATGTCTCTCTGTAGTTTCAGCCCAAGATTTTCCTTGAACCAGGCTGCACCAAGTCTGCCACTTTTTCTAAAACTGTCTTGCATGAGCCAGTCTGCTTTTTCAACACATACTTTTAAAAGGATGCAAATTGCATCAATTTTAGTATGCATGTATACACAAAGTACTTTGTGCTGAGTATGAGTAAAGTTGCTTCAGCTGTAACAAATGGAGCTAAAGCCTTAACAAGGGCACTGGGAGTTGAGCCCAACCAAGAGTTTATTCTTTTAAGATACTGCCCCAAAAGCTGTTCCATAACATGACACCAAACTTCCCACACCAAAGTGTGGGAGCTCTTTCCCATAAAGCAGTTGTTTACCCCCAGTTCTTCACCTTCGTCACTAGCAGATCAGAATGGCCAATGCGCTTGATTTAATTTCATGGGTCACTATTTTGAAGGACTACTTTTGTCAATAGCAGATTTCTGCAGCAGAAATTGGGCTGTGAGCCTTTCTACAAGATGTGTGCAGGGAAAGAGTACTTACCCAGCAGTCACTGCAGTCCTAAATGTTCGGCAAACCCATTATTCTTGTCGAATTCGAATAAACAGATAATTGATAGGCAGAGCTTAAGAACTGACAATATAATTAATGTTGTTTTCTTAGTTCCAACCATACAGGTGCACCATAACTGTAACATTTCTTCTAATTATATTTCTTTAAATGGTATGTCCTACTCAGCATGCCTAAAAGTATATCATAAGCTTAACTTAATTTTGGCTATATCTTCCCTTTTGTTTTGTAATCTGATGATTTAAAAACAATTATAAATGCTCTATTGAAATGCAACTGTCAGCAGGTACAAATGCCAACTAATATTTTCTTTTCAAAGTAACTGTTAGGAAAATATATAATACAGCCTACGTTTCATCTCATATGAATTCCAGGATCAGAGTTAAGCCTGTCATAACAATGTTGGTTTCTTAGTGCTTGATAATAGTGATTTAGTGCTTCATTTGAACATCTGTGATGTTTATTCATTATCATCCTCACTCTTATGTGCTTTGTTCATGATGTGACAACAAAGAACTTGTTATTCAGCCGTCCCAGTGGTTTAAAATATAGTTTATTTTATTGAAAGTTTGTTAATATTTTCTTTCATTGGTATAAAGTTTAAAGATACATAAATATCTTTGCACATAATCTTACAGTAGTTTCAAGGAAACCTTCAAACTGTCAATCTGTTAAATAAAAAAAAAAGGTTCTCAGCAAATTGAAACAAATTTTCATTTACTTTTAACCTTCTGTTTGTTAAATATGCCTGATGTTAGAAGAAAAGCACCTTTGCTACAAATTCAAGCCTCTTTGAGCTGGACAAAAAAGGTTACAGGTGAGCACTTGTTGAGCTTGTTCAATTTCTTTTTATGAACCCGTAAGTCTATCTACAGAGTAGATTACAAGGGAATCAGGGGAATAGGTGTTTTTTCTTTGAAGCTCTAGAAGAATTGTATTAATCTGTGTCAAACAGAACACCTAGTAGGTAGGACCACTTTAATGGACTAGGTTTATGCACTGTTTGAAAGTGAGTTGCTTTGGTTTGGGCTATCATACATATAAACTAAAAGAGTCATGTGTGTTGAATTCACAGAAAACCAAGTGATCATCTCAAACTCCGTTTTTGTAGTACCACTTATGATAGAACAGAGTAGCACTTTTTGAATTACCTGCAAGACTTTTTCTTGCACTGCATCCTAAATTGATCATGTGCACGAACAAAATAACGATATCATAACTTATTTGGTAAAGAGCAGCAGAGACAAGTACTAATTATAAATGACTGTAACACACTGACAGGAACCTTTAAAAGTCTGGTGGATGACAATTACGCTAACTTTTATTTCTTAGCAATATCTCTGAATAGTTATAATTTGTACAGAGTAATTCAGACGCAATTGAATTAATCTGAAGACGACAGAGAATTTTGCATTTTTAAACATGCAAGCATTTTTTAAGACTGAAAATAATGTGGCGAGTTTAGTGGCCTACAGGCCTATGTAAAAAATTGATTATATATATATATATATATATATATATATATATATATATATATATAACCTAAAATGGTAAATCATGGAACAACACTGAACTAATAGAGGTAACTAGAGAGACTAGGAAGGTCATCAGGAATTCATCAGAACTAAGAAGAGGGCAATTTCAGTGATATGGATATGATGGGAATAAATATTATCTAAAATATCCTTTAATTGGGGATTTTCCAGTCAGTAGTATCTGTTGAGATAATCTGCTCTTATATAAGAATATATAAGAGGCTAAACAAAACTGGAGAATTTGCCCTGGCTTCTCTATCAGGCTTGTAGTATTCCTAGTCTGAGGTTTCTCTGGCTTCCAGCCAGTGGATCTCCCGTTCCCAGTGTAACCTGCTGCACCTGACTCAGCCACTGGATTTCATGTCCATCTCTTTGTGGGGAAATCCAGGTCTTCTTTAATACTTCTGGTTCTGCAGGGTAGCCTCAAGGTATAGTCCAATGGCTGTATCTGCTCTTCAGGAACAGTGTGGTCTGCATCCATCTGCTCTTCAACAAGAAAACCAAAATCAACCAGTTATCAAAGCTCTTCCTTGTTCTGATTGTCTCTGCCAAGTTTTGCCCTGACAAGAACTCAGAGGATCTCAACTGAATTCTGAAAATTCTTAAAGGAATCAGCATTTTGGTCAGAAAACGTCCTGGTGCCTTTCTCTTTCCAGCCTAGTCTTTCATAATATGTTGTAGAAACCTCCTCACCTCTGGGCGACAGGAAGCTCTGGTGTGGTTGAATTCCAAGCAGTTGTTGCAGGATGAATGGTCTAGTCCAAAATTGAAGTTCTATACAAATGTCTCACAATTGGAGACACTCTATGTGGAGTGGAAATTTCCTCTGAATTGGATTTACCCATGCTACATGCCATGCAAACTAATCTTGAAATCACATCCCTAGTATATGTAGCTTGATAGTCACACTTTCCTCTCACATAAGTAAACTGTGATACCTACATTTCTTCAGAGAATATTTAATTATTTGTATAACCACTTTATAACCTTTTCCATTTTTTTGTCTGAAGAAGAGATACACACAGAATATTGCTTCACTACTACTTCATACCTCTCCTGTGAGATGCTCTCTCAGAGGATTAGCTCTGATACTGTTCAGGTGTAACTCATGTTCTTTTTGCTTTCTGCCTTTGTTGTCAGATCCTTTTCTGTGTCACTACTTTCATGTCTGGTAAGGTGTGAATGGCTAAATCTGTGTTTCTAAATTTGTATGCTGCATTTTTTCTTTGTTTCC